AACACTATTGGAATGATTGGCAATCTTTGAATATGGGCTATAGATTAGTTAAGAGTATTATATTAGTGTTGAATTTCCTCATTTTGTTGATTACACTGTAGTTATATAAGTGAATATCCTTGATCTTAGGCACTTCCCACTTGAGTACTTAAAGGCAAGAGAGTATATTTACAACTTACTCTCAAATGGTTAAGAAAAAATATGGTAGAACTAACTGTAGCAAAATATTAACAATTAGGGAATCTGGGTGAAAGGTATGTGGGAGTTATTTGTACTATTCTTACAACTTTTGTCTAAAATTTAAATTATTTCAAAATAGGGTGCTTTTTAAAACTATAGGTATAAAAAATAGGTAGAACCAGTGTGGTAAAATGCTAACAGCAGCTGAACTTGTGGGATGAGGGTATGGAGGTTATTATGACATTCTCTCTCTGTTTGAAAAATTTAAGCTCCCTCTCCCCACAAAAAAGTTAAAACATATATACACACACACATATATATGTTCATACATGCACAAAACCAAACACAGGCAAAAAACCTCAAACCTTCCAGACGTTCTCTGAATTTCAGGCACTGCTCAGATTATTCACTTCAGATCTTCTCAGCACTTTGTGCAATGATTGCTCAATGTAAAACTGTTTACATACTTCTAATCCTTTAGGTTTTATGTGCCCTAGGATGGGAATGTTTTCTTATTATGCTCCTTCAATAATGATTAGCTATTGCTTTATGTAACAGCCTGAAAAATTTGGATGTATATTTAATTTCACCACAGCAGATTGTTTATATACCAGGTAAGTGTATTTCAAGCTAGTATTTCATGAATTATTTGAAAAAGAATAATTCTTTCTTAAGGTAATTCTCCCTAATTTATCTTTTTAAAAAATCCAGATTTTCAAATACAATACTCTATTTGCCTGAGCCCAGACAAGCTTAGTAAAGTGTTGTGGTTTTGCTAAGAACAAAAATGGAAATTCTGATCTGTTAGAGGTCAAACAACATTATGTGTTGTCCAGGATTTTTTAAAAATACTTGAGTAAAAAAGGAATAGATACAGTAAGTGCTGGAGAGGTGATATGGTTCACTGAATTAAACTATTTTTGTGTGTGTTTGAAAACTTCCAACTAAGTTATTAACATGATCTAGACTAAGAGTTCCCACCCACTACCACTCCATTAATAGCCTTTCCCATTAAAAAAATTTTTTTTGATATTGTTAATGTACAATTACTTGAACATTATGGTTACTAGACTCCCCTTACTATCAAGTCCCCCCCACAGACCCCATTACAGTCACTGTCCATCGGCGTAGTAAGATGCTATAGAATCACTACTTGTCTTCTCTGTGCTATACTGCCTTCCCCGTGCCCTACCCCCACTGCATTATGTGTGCCAATCATAATGCCCCTTTTTCCCTTTATCCCTCCCTTCCCACCCATTTTCCCCAGTCCCTTTCCCTTTGGTAACTGTTAGTCCATTCTTGGGTTCTGTGAGTCTGCTGCTGTTTTGTTCCTTCAGTTTTTGCTTTGTTGTTATACTACACAGATGAGTGAAATCATTTGATACCTGTCTTTCTCCACCTGGCTTATTTCACTGAGCATAATACCCTCTAGCATCATCGATGTTGTTGCAAATGGTAGGATTTGTTTTCTTCTTATGGCTGAATAATATTCCATTGTGTATATGTACCACATCTCTTTTATCAATTCATCCACTGATGGACACTTAGGTAGCTTCCATATCTTGGCTATTGTAAATAGTGCTGCGATAAACATAGAAAAGCATATGTCTTTTTCAAACTAGGGCTGCTTACCCTAAGAACTCTTAGGAATTCTTAGGGTAAATTCCTAAGAGTGGAATTCCTGGGTCAAATGATATTTCTATTTTGGGTTTTTTGAGGAACCTCCATACTGCTTTCCACAATGGTTGAACTAGTTTACATTCCCACCAGCAGTGTAGGAGGGTTCCCCTTTCTCCACATCCTCACCAACATTTGTTGTTGGTCTTTGGATGTTGGCCTTCCTAACTGGTGTGAGGTGATATCTCATTGTGATTTTAATTTGCATTTCCCTGATGACTAGCGATGTGTGGAATCCTTTCGTGTGTCTGTTGGCCATCTGAATTTCTTCTTTGGAGAAGTGACTGTTCAGATCCTGTGCCCATTTTTTTATTGGATTATTTGCTTTTTGTTTGTTGAGGTATGTGAGCTCTTTATATATTTTGGATGTCAACCCTTTATCGGATCTGTCATTTATGAATATATTCTCCCATACTGTAGGATGTCTTTTTGTTCTACTGATGGTATCCTTTGCTGTACAGAAGCTTTTCAGCTTAATATAGTTCCACTTGTTCATTTTTGCTTTTGTTTTCCTTGCCTGGGGAAACATGTTCATGAAGAAGTTGCTCATGTTTATGTCCAAGAAATTTTTGCCTATATTTTTTTCTAAGAGTTTTATGGTTTATGACTTACATTCAGGTCTTTGATCCATTTTGAGTTTACTTTTGTGTACAGGGTTAGGCAATGATCCAGTTTCATTCTCTTACGTAGCTGTCCAGTTTTGCCAACACTAGCCTTCCCCATTTTAATGATAATACCACCCTTCCAGTTACTTTGGCCAAAAATCTTTCTGTCACTCTTGTCTGGTTTCTTTTATTCACACCTCCACATGCGATCAGTCAAGAAATATTATTTGCTCCATGTTCATAATATATCCACAATCTACTTTTTACCACTTCATTGGTACCACCCCTGTCCAGAATACCATTATCTCTCACATGATTACAATAGCCTCCTAACTACCCACCCCGCTTCCCATCCTCCCCCACTCCTTCCAGTTCATTCACAACACTAGAATGAAGAGTCATCTTTTAGAATATAAGGCAGATCACAACACTCCTCTGTTCAAAACTCTCCAGTAGCCCCCTACTTTACTCAAAGTACAAGGTTTAAAAGGCCTGCACATCTGGTCCCATTACCTTCTTGTTCTCATTTCCTACTATTCTTCCTCTACTTCACTTCTTTCAAACAAACTAGCCCCCTCATAGCTCTTCAAGCATGCCAGGCACACTTCCAACTTTCAAAGTCATCATTCTCTCTGCGTAAGCTTTTCCCTCAGATAGCTGCACGTTTATTCCCTCACCTCTTTGCTCAAATGTCACTTTCTAGTGAGGGCCTATTGGACCATTCAACTCAGCACACCTTGTCCCCCTTTTCCTGCTAGATTTTCCCCCAAAGCGTTTGTCACCTCCGACATACTACACATAATTCACTTATTTCAGTAAGTTCATTGTCTCCCTGATCAGAATGGAAACTTTGTGACACACAAGCACTGCTGTAATCTCCAGTGCCTAAAACAGTAACTGGCACACGGAAATAATCTAGACGGGAAGAAATTATGGTGGCTTCTAGGAAAGACATTATTTTATTTTTGCTAAAATATATAGACAGTGGGTGATGAAAATGAGGACTAAATAAAATTCCTTATAAAAATAAGGGTACTTTACTCATCTTTCATCTCTGATACAACTGTAATTTAAAGAGGGATAAAAAGTAGTCTCCCTAAAATCTTCTGCATCCGTGGATGTTTTGTTGCCCTTGTCTAGCTTGGATTAATACTTAGTCCATAGGCACACAACTGATCATCTACATTTGCCCTCTTACAGCACTAAACTATGTTTTCTACCTTTATCATGCATCTACCTACCACTTCAGCATTTTATTAAAATAATAATAATAATAATAATAATAATAAGGGAGAAATGTGGGATTCACATATAAATCAAGAATAAAAATCAAACAAATATTCATATTTGACCTGATTGTTTATAGTTCATAAAGCGTGATCAAAACCGAAAGTTTCTGTGATGACTGCCCTT